ATGTTAAGTAACTTGAAAAACGAGAAAAACTGATTTTTGTAATTGTTTCTCTCAGGGCTTTTATCATCTCTGGTGTGAGTTTAAAATATAAATGTGTTAGCACTGTGTTGATTATCCCTAATATGAATAAATGTTTATTTATTCAATGTTTTTCTTCTTTAATACGCAATTGAAGTTATGCTATTCATGGATAAAAAATCGTGATAAAATCGAAATCGTGATAAAATATTGCAAAAATCGTGATATTCTACTTTTGCCATATCGCCCAGCCCTACATGTGACCAACTATCATTTCATGTTCTACCACCGGATGTTTGGATCAAAATATGAACCAATCAGATCTTAGATCAGGTGAGAGCCTGGCATTTCCCATCATCCCCTAGGTTTTGCAGCCGAGGGAGAGCAACTGCAGCGCCTTGCTCCAAAATCTGCGGCCGCCTTGATCTCACGAGGTTATCGTTGCCTACGTATGCATGACGTCAGAGCAAGTCGGCGTCAAGTCGGACAAAAATGTAACCGGCATGCACTGCTCGCCGATCACCGGTGCTCTAGTCTGCGCAGAACTGGCTCATCTCGAACACAGCCAATGGCTCGAGTACAGCAAAGCGGAGTTGGTGATGTACTGCGTTGTATGCCGGAAGTATGCGACGACAAAATCGAGTTGTTGAGGGAACAAACAAATTCAAACTTGAATACGTTATTATGTTTGTGAATGTGTACAAAATGAAGGTTTATTACATTTAAAACGGTTCAGTTGTTATTTTGACTCGTTTTGGCAGCTGACCAGCGGGGCCGGTAGATTCTTGGTGGGGCCGGTAAATATTCAGAGTTACCGGCCCGGCTGGCCGGTTGGTTTTGAAGTTAATGTCCACCCCTGTAAAAGCAATCAAAACTGCCTGGTTCCCCTTTAACTCGGGCTTTCCACTAGACGTGTAAGCAATGCAAAGCTTGATAAATGCATTTTTGCCCCAAAGTCAGCGGCACCTCCCTTCTTGCAGGGAGTGTTTTAGACGAGAAGGGTCAGCGAATTTGTTCCATGTAGCTCCTTCTGCAAGAACACGCATGATTTCAGCAGTTTACACAATAACAAGCCAGGAGAAAGATGGCAGTTTGTATCCAAATCTGTCACAAGCAGTTATGTATTTTTTCTTTTACTGGTAAAGTTAAAAGGAAATCTGCATATGTCATACATATCCAGAGTCCGGATTTGGGTCGCAGCTCCTCCGGGTGAATTCCAAAGAGTTCCCTGGCCAGGTGAGAGACATAATCCCACCACCGTGTCCTGGGTCTACCTTTAGGTCTCCTCCTGGATGGACGTGCTCGGAAAACCTCACCAGGGAGGCGTCCAGGAGGCATCCTGACCAGATGCCTGAGCCACCTCAACTGGCTCCTCTCGATGTGAAGTAGCGGGTCTACTCCGAGCCCCTCCTGGATGACCGAGCTTCTCACCCTATCTCTAAGGGAGAGCCCAGCCACTCTTCGGAGAAAACTAATTTCGGCCGCTTGTATCCGTGATCTCGTTCTTTCGGTCACTACCCGAAGCTTATGACCATAGGTGAGGGTAGGAACGTTGATCGCCGGTAAATCGAAAGCTTCACATTCTGACTCAGCTCTCTCTTCACCACAACAGACTGGTACAACGCCCGCATCACTGCAGATGCAGCACCAATCCGCCTATCGATCTCACGCTCCAGTTTTCCCTCACTCGTGAACAAGACCCCGAGATACTTAAACTCCTTCACCCTGGGCAGGACCTCATCCCTGACCCGGAGAAGGCTTTCTACCCTTTTCCGAATCAAGACCAGATTCAGTGACAAAGGGCAGCCTTGGCAAAGTCCAAGTCTCACTGGGAACGAGCCCGACTTACTGCCGGCAATGCGGACCAAGCTCTGACACTGGTCATATAGGGACCTAACAGCCCTTATCAGAGGGCCTGGTACTCCATACTCCCAGAATACCCCCCCCCCCCCCCCCACAGCCCCCCCCCCCCCGAGGGACACGGTCAAACGTCTTCTCCAAATCCACGAAACACATGTAGACTGGTTGGGCAAATTCCCACGCACCCTCCAGGATCCCCCTAAGGGTACAGAGCTGGTCCAGTGTTCCACGGCCAGGACGAAAACCACATTGCTCCTCCTGAATCTGAGGTTCAACAATCCGACGGACCCTCCTCTCCAGAACCCCTGAATAGACCTTACCAGGAAGGCTCAGGAGTGTGATCCCCTTGTAGTTGGAACACACCCTGCGGTCCCCCTTTTTGAATAAGGGAACCACCACCCCGGTCGGTCAGTCCAGTGGGACTGCCCCTGATGTCCACGCGATATTGCAGAGCCGCGTCAGCCAACACAGCCCCACAACATCCAGAGCCTTAAGGAACTCCGGGCGGCTCTCATCCACCCCTGGAGCCTTGCCACAGAGGAGCTTTTTAACCACCTCAGTGACCTCAGCACCAGAGATTTGAGAGGCCAAGTCAAAGTCCCCAGAATCTGCTTCCTCACTGGAAGACGTGTTGGTGGGATTGAGGAGGTCTTCGAAGTATTCTGCCCACTGATCCACAACGTCCTGAGTAGAGGTCAGCAGCACACCGTCCCCACTATAGATAGTGTTGGTAGCGCACTGCTTTCCACCCCTGAGGTGCCGGATGGTGGACCAGAATCTCCTCGAAGCTGTACGAAAGTCTTGCTCCATGGTCTCACCGAACTCCTCCCATGCCCGGGTTTTTACCTCGGCGACCACCCAAGCCGCGTTCCGCTTTGACTGCCAGTACACTGGGGTAAACCCCAACGTATAGGCACCAAGATGGGGGGCAACTAGTATGCCCACCCCTTCTCGGCGCCTCTCAGTGGGAGAAACTCCAGAGTGTTAGAAAATCCTACCCCTCTCAAGGAAACTGGTTCCAGAGCCAGAGCAATGCGTTGAGGTGAGTCCGACTATATCTAGTCAGAACCTCTCAACCTCACACACCAACTCAGGCTCCTTCCCCACCAGAGAAGTGACATTTCATGTGCCAAGAGCCAGCTTCTGTAGCCGAGGATCAGAACGCCAAAGTCCCCGCCCTCAACTACCACCCGTCACACACTGCACCTGACCCCTTTGGCCCCTCCCACGAGTGGTGAGCCCATGGGAAGCGGGACCCACGTTTCCTCTTCAGGCTGTGCCCGGCCGGGCTCCATGGGTGAATGCCCGGCCACCAGGCGCTTGCCAACGTGCCCCACCTCCAGGCCTGGCTCCAGAGGGGGCCCCCGATGACCCACGTCCGGGTGAGGGAACACGGTTTCCATTTATATAATTCATCATAAGAGGTCTTCGGGCTGCTCTTTGTCTGATCCTTCACCAAGGACCAGTTTGCCATGGGTGACCCTGCCAGAGGCATCAAGCCTCAGACAACTTGGCTCCTAGGTTCATTGAGACACTCAAACCCCTCCACCATGGTAAGGTGGCAGCCCTGGTAAATAAATAAATAAATAAAAAAATTTCTGATTTAATGGTTTGTATTCTGAGCTTAACATTTTTTAAAGTGTCTGTTTAAGAAAGCTAGACAGCTTTTCTGAAATTTCTCATAAAAATACTATATAAATGCAACATTGGGCATGGCATGAAGTGAGAGATGGGTGAGAGAAACCCTTTAACTCATTCACTACCAGCCGTTTCCTGATCAGAAAAGCCCTTCGCTGCCAGAGTTTTTCAGTTTTTACAGTTTTTTTAAGAGCCACAGAATGTTGCGTGCTATGATGATGTCAACGCCGAAACTACCAAATCAGCCAAAACAAAGAGTAGACTCACCTCTTACATCAGGAATAATCAGCGCGTTTCGAGCGTTAGCCGTTATTTCATAATCCATTGTTGAATTGTAATCGGCAGAAGGTTTTCCGGTTCGCGCCTCACTTCTTTTTTACAGCAGCAGCGCTAAACAATCTCCTAACACATGGATTTTCTGCTTCCTGATCACGTGACGTGTGACGTATGTGGATGAAGATCGGCTTTAGAGCTGACGTGTTTGTTCTCATGTTGCGGGGGTCGTTCTGACGCCCACACAGTGAAAATATGCAAATGACGACTTTTGTCGTCAATGGCAGTGAATGAGTTAATTAAATCAGGCTGATTTGATTAAAATCAGGGACACTAGTGCTGAAAAGCCATTGTGCATCAGTCAGCTGTAGAGGGAATACAGGGCTAAACTCTCCTTTCCTGAAGTCAAGGCTCCTTCAGACCTCGTCCCTAACAAATATTAATTGGTGCTTCTAATTGCTTTCCAGAGGTTTCCTTTAGTCTATTATTTCTGTAAAACTTATGTGGTCAGTGTGTATGGTCTTAGCCCATTTTCCCCCTCTTTACATTTACTGTATGCACTGTACTTGCATTGTGGAGCGAGGGCTTCTACAATATCTAAAAAATCAGAATGGAAGTTGTTCGCCCGTGTTTTAACGAAAAACAAATCTATTATATCAGGTCGCTACTACAGACACAAGTGAACAAGTGTTCTACGGTTATGATGCCAAAACCATTGTTAAAATACATTCTACATCCTTTCATTTAGTTTAGTGTTTATTTCATTACCACCAGCTCCTTTAAATACTTTTGTTAGTTTTTAAAAGCGTGTACATAAGTGCACGTTTGTTTCTGTAATCAAAAGAAGACATGAGATCAGAGTTCTCCATCTGTGCAAAGCCCACCGACTGCAGCGTCGGCTCCTACGTAGCTAAGCCTCTTAGGGCGTTTTGTTGTTTTCTTTTAATCGAAGCCTCTGTTGGGAGTCTGTGGTACTCCTGGCCTCACTCGTGCAGCTGAGCTCTCAGCTGAAATACAATCAAACAGCAGGCTGTGGATGAAATCCATGCCAAACATGTTTCTTTGTTCTGCTCTACAACCTTTATCATCTCCCTTGTCCAGTGTTTATCTGTTGATTGAATCATTTCCACTTGTTTCCTTCAGGGCTGACCGGTGTATGTATATATATTTATTGCCCAGTGTGTCTAATTGTGTCCTAACTGGTTTTGCAGGGTTGTTCTGAGGTTCAGCTGCTGACATGACAAAGCTGTGACGGTGAACAAGATCCAATTTGTGCGACATGGCTGCTGCTAAGAAGAGTGAGTCTTTGTGGTTTTGTTGTTTATTTAAAGAAAATCCTCCATTTTTCCCTCCTTTGCAGAAATGTAAAGCCGTGTTAGAGCGGATGGGTGAATATGGACTTTTTAATGTTGGACATTATAAAGCGTGGTTTAGATGGTGGAAGTAAAACAAAAATCAAGTTTTTTTGTGTATTAATTTTGTGAAAACGGTAATTATGAAAACAGTAAAACACAATGTTTTAAATTAAGTATCAGATCGGTTTGCCTGTTCTTAAAAAATTACTTTATTGTTTAAAGCAACATTATGGCAATTGTTCGTAGATCCTTTTCATACCAAAATGGTACAAGGATAACTTGTTTAAAGCTTTTAACCTTTGGTCTTTTGTAGTCTGATCGGATTCAGTCTTCCTCCTCACATTGGGTCTTTTGCAGATGGGACAGGGTGTGGCATGGTGAAAGGCACCCGGGTCGATGAACAGGTTCAAGAACTCTTAATTACAACGTGCTGTGCCTGGGAATGCCAAATTAACCATTGCATCACCCTGGAGCCATTCTGGAAAAGAAAATCAATCTAATTAGTTTGTTTTCTTCTTCTCTGAAAAGAGGTTCATTTCTGAGTCAGTCAGTGGGTTCACCTTCGATTGCTGTTGGGGCAAGCAGAAACATTTTTCTCAGAAACAGGTGTGGCTGAGCTTGAAAGAAAGAGCAAGACCAGGAGAAGAGCTACGACTGGTCCAGTCGTAGCTCTTCTCCTTTAGAAAACAGAACTGACCAAGCTGCACATGTGGACAGTCCAGCCATATTTTAGAATAAGGGACGTTTTGTCCACCCTGACTTGGTTTTAATGAAAATACTTCAATTATCCATAAAGTAATCTGTTTGTAAAACCGTTTTAGTTACCTCTTCAGGTCAAAGTGGCAGGAAGGTGAGTGTAAATGGGAGAAATAAGGTCTTGTCACCTTTTCAGTAAAATTTTGAGTCACAGCTGATGTGTTCTAATGCCGTTGTGCCAAACTGTTGTTTGTGTAAAAACGAAGATCGGAACAGAGCCATGCTGCGTCCACACGGTCATCGTTCCCTCTCTTCTGATTCAGACACGCTGTTGGAGAGCTCCTACTGATACAGGGCTACATTAGGCCAAAAGGAGCAGAAAATGATAAAACTCAGAGTTTACAGGACTGCTGATGTGAGAGTGACTGAAGATGAGCTTGTTTGTTGAGCACAGGTGTGTTTAGTGTTAGCTGGCTTAGCCAGGCATTGAAGCTCATGATTTAAAGTCAGCGTTGATGATCAAAAACAAGACAACAAACTGGAACGTGTGCAGTACGTGGCCATTTTGGCAGAAGCATTCAGCTATTCCAGCCTTATTAAAATTAATGTTTTTAAAATAAAATATCACATAAAAACTTGTAATATGCAAACATATTGGCCATACAACAATGTTTTTCACATCGTCATTGCATCACACTCTAAAGGAGAAAGGAAAGTAGTTCAGGAAACGAAATGAACATCCCATCAAATGAACTCTATTTGAACTGATTTTAAAAGATCACAAATAGTTTCTTTTAAGATTGTATTTTTATTTGAGTATTTTTAGCTTAATTTTAAATATTACAAATAAAAAGGAATCTAAACATCTATATTCAGTGGCCACTGGAGTCTAAGATTTGGCCATTTGTTAATGTAATAATCTGTTCTTAATCTAAAAGAAGGCACATAGTCTGATAAGAAAAGTAATTTTAACAGTCTGACCTGCTTTAACATTTGTCCTCCTTTTATTTGGATGTGACAGAGACAGGAGATTGCCCTGCCTTGGGTCTCAGAGATAACAAACCATGTTTAAATTCATTTTACAGAACTTACATTGTTCTTGCTTTCTTTGATGGGCTTTAGGTACATACACCACCTTTCTTCCATCTATAATCCATTTCTACACTGGAATTCTGAACATATGGAACATGATGTAACTCTCCAACTCATTATTGTGACCCAGATCGCTGAGTGCAAGGATTTCTAATCTCTGATATGAGCCTGAATAAAGATTTAGTGGAACACAAGAAGAGGGATGTCTGCGATTTATGCAACATACCTTCATTAGCTGCTAGGCATATGTTCATGTTATGGCTTTGTGTATTGATATATGATATTTATGGTTGTGTCCATGTATTTTCTTAACTTTTTTATGTCCATGAATAACATAGGTGGACTCCAAACTAGAGGTTGATTATTGGTTTTTCTGTTGTCGATACCGATGCTGATATGTGAAGTTCAACCTATGGCTGTCGATTTTCATGGCCGTTATCTAGACGTTTTCCACCTTATTTGCATGTTAAAATGTCACTATCAGTTGATGCAAAACAAAATTGAACACTGAATTTAAACAGCTGTTAAATCTTAATTTTGTGCACCCCTCAGTGTTAAAATCAGACGTATAAAGGAAGTTAGTCAAACAAGTGAATAAACTAAGTTTTAATTATTCAAAGCTTGTAAATTAAATGAAAGTTTAGTTCAAAATAATTTTAAAGCACTTATTATGCAGATGGGCAACGCCTTCAGCATCCACAATCAGCAGAGAACATCTCAGCTAGCAGAAGCTAACCATTAGCATTAGCAGCTTAACCACATAGCATAACTCCTCCAAGCTTGTGTTATTTGTGGAAATAAAACATCAATGTTGCAGAGCAAACACAGTCATTAGTAGAGTCGCATATCCAAATATCAGGATAAAAGACTCCAAATCCGTTTGTGCCCCGAGTATTGCTTGCAAGCCATTCAGTTCTACCAGAGACCACGGCAAATGTATTGATTAAACAAGGGTCCCAGACCTTTAAACAGGAAGTGTGGGTGGAGTAAGACTCTGGAATGGGAGTGACTTGCTCTTGCAAAAGCACTGATACTAAAAACCACATCAGATTTATTGAAAAAATGAGTTTGTGACTTCTTTAATGTTAGCCTAAAAAGACCTATTTGTTGGATTTAGTGATTGTAAAATGGTAAATGGCCTATGTTTGATATAGCTCCTTTTTGGGTTTCACAACCCCCCAAAGCGCATTACAACACAAGTCATTTGATTGATGCCATTGATAATGACCGAAAACAGTGCTGAAATAAGTTTATAAAACACCTGTATTAATAGTAAAATACATTATGTTCCCTACTAAGTGTGTTTAAAAGAACGTCAGAATTCATGGAACATAAAGACTTGATCTTAGTATCAAAATACACGTAACAGCCCTACGTTCTGTGGGCAAATGTTATAAGTCAAGTGCATCTTAAAAGGCTACATCCTATTATTAGTATGTTTTATAGTCAAACATAGTCGTAGCATCTATCAGTGCCTTGTTCTTTGCGTAATGCTTAAGTGGAGCACTATTATCAGCTCTTGGAGACATATTATTTTTAAAGGAGAGCAAAGTTTATTTGGAGAAGAAGTTTCCATTCTCTCACACTGTGATCGAATGCCTGGGTAGAAGAACAATGAATATCAATTTCATTCAAGAGCAACAAAAACTTTGTTTTATTTGGAAATCTAACCCCCTTTTTTAACTCCTCATTGTGATCTTCAAATTTAATGAAGCTAGATTGTGGTGAATAGGTCCGTAAACCCCTGGATTTAAGGATACCGGTGAATCCAAACATCTGTTATTTAAAAAGATGGTTTAGTGCATCTGTTTATTTTGTCTTTCAAATTAGTAATGTTATCTTCTCTTTCCTTTTTGTAGGTTGTGCAAAGGCTGAAGGCGTGCACTTCACAGAGAAACCACCCTCTGCCGGAGCCGCTTCCCACGTTCATTTTGATGAAAAGCTTCATGAGTCTGTCGTTATGGTGACTCAGGAGGCGGTCGGCAAATTCATGGTCAAGGTGTGTTTGTTGTCTGTGCATGCAAAACAACAACAAAAAACACAACTACTTTGTTTCTGCTCTTGGCTGAATTTTCTTTTTATGACTCAACATCTACAACTCAACTTTTGGCTCTCCTCCAGAAGGGGCCATGCGGGAAGCCCAAACCCTGTGATTAAATACAAAAATTGCGCAGGAGCTCTAATCATACCTGCGAACTTGTAGCTTTTCTGCAAAAATCGCCATTTTTTTAAGCCAAATGTGGCGTTCACGTGAATCGTGCAGAGCCGAAGAGTTTGTTTTGAGGGGAGGGGGTCTTCTGTCTGGTTTCAGCGATGGGTTTCTGTCACTCTTATGAAAATCAATCAGAGAAAGGAGAGGGGACTCCTCTTGTTCACAAACAATCTTTGTTCTAGTGTGTTAGTCAGGTGTCATCAATAGACCAACCAGAGTTTGCAGGTATGTCTAATAATGACATAACAAAAATTCCCAGTACAACCTGGAAAGTTTCATGTGTGTTTCGACATGCTTCTTTGTTTTTCTCTCGCCCTACGGGGATGCTAGCAGTAGCTCAACAAGGTTTCCTCTAGAATTCTTTTAAACTGTGGTGGTGGGGTGTCGGGGGTGGGGGGTGGGTGTTGTGTAGTTTAGTAACATAATTGGGAATTGGTTATGAGTATTTACCTACAAGCTATTTAACAAAATCACGTAATTTCTGATAAGTTTTAGTAAAAATGATCAGAATGTATGAAATGTGTAAAAAAAAAACTGTTGTATCTTGTTGATTTAGTTCAGTAGCACAACTGAGAATTGATTTTGAGTAATTTAATCAATAAATCTAGAAGCTTTTGCTTTTTTTTGTACTAATTTTCAAACGACTAGAAATGTGTTGATGGTCTCTAAGCAAGCCACCGCTGTCATGAACAAGTTCTCAGAACACAGCTGTCCGCCATCTGGCGCAGTGCACGGCATGAAAACCCATCACTGTCCGTAGTGAACCATGGAGTGAACGTCCAACTAGCTTCACTTTTGGTCACTCTACGTTAACATTAGGCTCGTTTTCACAGGCGTGAACTGAAAATGCATCAACTTAAACTTCTCTAGGGACCATTCTTTCACCTTTTATCTCCCTCTACTGTCGACTCTAGTTTTCCTTCACTCCTAAGAACAATGTACCACAGCTTTGCAGTCAGACAGGCAGGAGCTGGTAGTGTTGGTTTTTCAAAATAAACTACATTTTAACGTTTCATGAAATTTAAATTGGGGCTGCACAGAGGTGCAGTTGTTAGCACTGTTGCCTTAAAACGAGGTCCTGGGTTCACATCCCAGCCTGGGATCTTTCTGCATGGAATTTGCATGCATGGGTTCTCTCCGGGTACTCCGGCTTCCTCCCACAGTCCCAAAACACGACTGTCAGGTTGATTGGTCTGCCTGAATTGTCGTGTGTGTGTGTGTGTGTGTGTGTGTGTGCTTGTTAGTTTGTCCTGTGTGTCTCTGTGTTGCCATGTGATGCAGTCTGTCCTGGGTGTACTCCACCTGCCGGAGACTGCTGGAGATGGGCATCAGCCCCCCACGTCCCTGCGTAAATAAGCGGGTAAAAAAAATGGATGGATGGATATTTAAATTTATTTCAAACTTTGATTATGCTTGGTATAAGTACGCAAATATAGGGTATAAATATCTCACATGCTTTACGTTGTTTCAACAGATTAAAAAAAACTTAATTCTGAAGTTGTGGCGGGGTGCCGCAATCAATTTCATGTAGCGGAAACTCCGCTACAAGCTAGCGTTACTCTGCTGTTAGCATCACAGTAACCAACCCTTATATGTTGGCGATGTTGAAGTGGAGAACGCCCTAGAATCGTCTCTACTGCAGTACTGAAGTATCTTTGTTTTCTGTTTCTGCTACGTGCAGGTCCAATCTTATTGCTTTTCTTGGATGGATTAATGCCTTCATTTCCTCCAGACATTTATGTACCTGTAATTAGTGGGCATCTGTAATCAAGTTATGTAAGTTTGAGATTTGAGAAAGGACATGTTTCATTCGATTTTGCTCTCATTTCTGTTCACACTCTAAAACTTTACCCCAAAATGCTTTTACTGAGCCTCTGGAGGCGTTAATGCAAAATCACAGATGGATATGTTTGCTTGAAAATTATTTGTATGTGTATGAGTGTGTGTGCCCACAGCTGGATGTGACCCTCACAGTTACAAACCGGCCTGCTTATGTGAGAGTGTTTTCTCACAGCTTTTCAAACAAACTCGAGAGTGGGCACGGAGCACAGTTAGCCAGGGCAGCACTATGAGTCTGTGCATAGGCATGAGGGGGTGTTTCCATGGAAACAACCAGCTGGGGGTGGGGGGGTTCTGATGTTTTGTAGACAGACCAAAGATGTGTTGGGCAGTATGTAGGATGGAAATGTTATTGTTCTTGCTCTGTGCATAACATCTGTATAAATGTCAGCTTTGTGTGTGTGTGTGTGTGTGTGTGTGTGTGTGTGTGTGTGTGTGTGTGTGTGTGTGTGTGTGTGTGTGTGTGTGTGTGTGTGTGTGTGTGTGTGTGTGTGTGTGTGTGTGTGTGTGTGTGTGTGTGTGTGTGTGTGTGTGTGTGTGTGTGTGTGTGTGTGTGTGTGTGTGTGTGTGTGTGTGTGTGTGTGTGTGTGTGTGTGTGTGTGTGTGTGTGTGTGTGTGTGTGTGTGTGTGTGTGTGTGTGTGTGTGTGTGTGTGTGTGTGTGAGTGAGTGAGTGAGTGAGTGAGTGAGTGAGTGAGTGAGTGAGTGAGTGAGTGAGTGAGTGAGTGAGTGAGTGAGTGAGTGAGTGAGTGAGTGAGTGAGTGAGTGAGTGAGTGAGTGAGTGAGTGAGTGAGTGAGTGAACAGGATTTTTCTGAAAATAATCACTGTTTCTGATTACAATAATGAAGCAAAGAGATTGAAATTAGCAGCCATCGGTGGTGCAAAGAAGTGCTGCTTCAGAAACTTCGCTATTTTAAATTAAAATCTGTTCTGATTCGAGAAACAACAACCGATATTTACAGACTTTCCTTTCAGTGGCCATAAGATTGAGAGCCACTTTGGAGACAATCAATAGGTTTTCACCCTGCTGAACCCATACGTTACTGTGTGTAAACAGATTAAAAGGTGATGAGACATCTGTGTGTGGTTGCCTTTGGGTAAGAATTATGAAACCAGAATAAAGAAGTGGGACAGAGCTGGAAACATTCTTAGAAAATAAATAAACAATTCTAAAATGGGTCATATAATGGGGATATTTTTGTTTTATTCTTTTTGTGCTATTACATAGTTTTAAATTCAAGGCAATAATGCTTCTCTACAGTGTCGGATAGAATCTGACAAGTAGCCGACTGCAGGGAGGCGGTTGGACTCTGATTATGAAGCTGGTGCCATTAAAGGAACAGACCAAAAGAACTTGAATCTTGGCAAATGACAGTTTAATGGTGAAGGAAGTACTTGTGTACACAATGTTAGTAATGTAAAACTCCTCTCAAAAGCAGAGCTACATTTATATCAGGTCCTGGTGAGAATTATGTCAATGTCAGGTTACTTACAGAACTTATAGGAAATCATCAGGGTGTATGTATGGCAAGCCAAATCACCACATAATGATTAGACAGGGACTTCAAAGAAGTTGTTGGCACTTTGGTCAGCTGTCATGCTGTTAAATAAATGTTCTATATAAATAAATTTGAATTTGAATGTTTATAATTCAGAAAGAACATTTTGTCTTCCAGGATTACAATATTAGATTATACTGCAGATTTATTTTTAAAGTAAGAAGTTTTTCTGTAAAAAAAAAAAAAAAGTTTGGATGATAAAAATAATTTGAACAGAACCCTGAAGTACCCTTGTTGGTGGTGAAAAGGCTGATGCATCAAAATGCAAAGAGTCTTTTAAGCTTGGCTACATATTAACCCTAAACAATTGTTTTTCTTTTCCTTTTTTCATTTTTATCTCAAAACACGGGATCTGGATGATTTCAAATATAGAAAAACCCTTCCAACAATCTTAATGTTGTTGTGATTTATAGGGCACTATTGGCCCCTTTCCACTATTAATGGGTACCAGGTTGCCGCACCTTTTTTAGAGCCAGCTACAATTTTGTTCCAAGTGCACCAAGCCAGGTCCAAAATGCAATCTCATTGGTTTGGAGGTGAAGTCACTGGTTTTCACGGTGCGCTTTGCAGTCTTTTCTGGTTTTCTTCTTTTTAAAGTTGGGCAAAAGTCTCAGACTAAGCAGAATGTTTAGCACTGCTGCCTTGTCCTCTATTGTTGTGGAGTAGGTTGTGCCACTCAGTAGGTGCTAACCAAGGGGCTTTTTCTGGCTGACAGTGCCCGTCAACCTCCATTAGCTCAGTTAGCACATAGCTAAACCAGCTCTTGTTTCTGGGAGTGACAAGACACCCCATTGCGCTTCAGTTAAGCTCTTAACAAGCCAGACGGTGCAGAGAGTGTTTCCATATTATGTATACACTCCCAAATTGTGGAAAGGGGTCATAAGTAATCACTAGCTTGTGCAAAATCGGCTACCACAACATTGATTTGTAAAAGCTGCACAAACTTAGAACTTATCACAGTTTATAGTACAATGGCCTACCATAAAAATATTCATGAATGTGGATTTGTTCAGCTGCCGTCCACTTAATGAAATCAGCTCATGTCTCAAAGGGTTTTTTTTATCCTCACTTGCTGCCTTGCTGTTTAATTTGTGTTTGCACACGTTCATTAACTGATTGCTGAGTGACTTCAGTCTGCTTAAAGGTTGGTTTATGCTTGACGCGTCCGCGAGGTCCGCACGGCTTCGCTTGGAAAAGTTGCATCATTTTGCGTCATTGTAACAACCACGCCCCTCCACCGCGCCTCCGCACAGCCCAGAATTTCCACAACGCGCACCTCGGGAATTTTCTAACCACGCGGACGGTCGGACGCGGAAAAACATGGCGGACCGGCAAGAACTGGTATGGCAGAGGTTCGTAAATACAGACATTTGTATGATTCAGCTCTCAAAGATCACCGTGATCAACATGTTAATAATTCTTGGAGAGAAATAGCTCGCACTGTCGGAAAAGACGAGGACACTGTTAAAAACTGCTGAAATGCCATGTTGTAAACAACAGTCATTTTTACTTCTACTATGGTGTAGTGTTGGGTGCATGCCGTAGAGCTCCATGCTGCCACGTTCAGTTTGGGAGAATATTGGCTCACCGCAGAGACGAGCCGCGTGAACCATAAACACTGCGAGTTGTGAAGCGCGTTCCATCCGCGAGCCGCATCACCAAGCGGAAAGTAAATGCATCAAGCATAAACCAAGCTTGAGCCTCCTGAGAAATAGACAGTAAATAAAGCAGACTTTATGGAGTTTCACTCCCATGAGTTTCATAAAGATGTTTTACCAATAAGCACCTGTCTATCTAATGGTATAAATATTAGAAGCCAGAGCTTCTGCTTTCAAGTTATTTTTACCTCTTTTGTTTTTACAGTCAATGGAAGATGCTCATAAATGTTAATGCAACAAACTGAACATCATCGTTGTTGTTTCCTTACTCTTGTTTGTTTGTTCCAAGTTAGACTCATTGATGGTGTACAGGCTCAGTTCGTTGGTGAGACTCTGCTCTTTTGGGTCTTTTTGCTGTTTGGAGCGGGTGTTTGGCTCCTCGCTGTAACCAGGGATTATGTTGGTGTGAGGCTATTGTCCCTCGCTGCAGGGCTTTACGCGTTATCTCTCGCTGCCCTCACTTCCCTACTGTCGTCTTCTCTCAGTCTCTCATATCCTGTCTCCTCTGTGAGGATACCTTCCCCCTCACTGAGATGAGGGGGGAAGGTTTGTGAATTGCCCTCTTTGCTGAATATTAATAGACATTCTGACAGCTCATCTCAACACAACGTTCCAGAAGAGCTGGGTATTGATTCAAATTTCAAGAATCGATTTACTTCAGATTCTCAAAAGTTAGAATTGATTATCATGATTCAATTCAGTCTTTTCCAATTTGATATTGATATGGGTCAGTGCTATTAAAACATTTTGAGCTGTTACTGAATCACAGACATATAATTAAAGGGACACTGGGTGGGTTACAGTTACCGGGGGAAACTGAATTACCCTTTCTGACCTAAACATTAAAATTAATATCTGGACTTTTCCTTCCTACTTTAGAGGTAAAAGGACAGTTAAATCAATGTTTGGACTTGACTCAATTCCATTTTTGGAAGTTTTATAAATAAATTGAGAATTGATGTTTCAATTTTATCAACACAACACCACTTCTGAGTCCTTTTCCTCTCGCTTCAACCACTGTTTCAGGGTTTAATGATTTAAATTACATGTTATTTAATAAGCCATAAGGCGTAGGATTCCATAGTAAATATGAAATCAACCTTATGGATCTGTGAGGTTATTTTAAACCAGAAGATTGGAACTTTTTAATGCAGGGATTAGATAACAGCTTCGTATTCACTCAGAGACAACAGAAGAGATTTAACTTTAAACACTAAATGTATGGTGTAACTAAGGTGGATGAGACGGTGAATGGGGTGAGGTGTAATGTTGCTCAGAACCAGCAAATCCGAAGAAACGATTAGTTCTGATGGGAACTGAAGGTGATGTCTTTGCGTTAAGCTTTGATTAGGAGATTCATAAACGCATTCGATGCCATTTGTCGGTCTACATACCCTGAGCGGAAGTCCCCGTCCAGATCAGGAGGTTTAAAGGTCCAGCTTGACCTTATGGAGCAGGAGCCGGTAGAAGCAGCCACGGCAGCCGACCACCCGTTTTGAGATACTTCCGGGTCACAACAATTTATTGGCGTCTGGTGAGACCCGCCTGGGTCTTGATGGTTCAGCTTTTATTCTGAAAGGAACCGTTGCAGCAGTTGGAACCGCAACGAATTTTCCAGCTTGTCGTGGGTTCTTTTGGTTGAAGAGGAAAGTTACGGATTGGCCACTCCGACACTTCTCTAGAACGCTTTTAACTGGCGTTAGAGATGACGTGGTATAGTTTTATACTTCAGATGTTTTGGTTTATGGTTGAATGAAAAGTTGACAGATTTACCAAACACCATCAAAACCATGCCTCCGTCAGATCTGGCAGATTCTGATTGGATCAGTGGAAGCAATGCGTCATGTCTTTTAACGCTACGTGAGATCAGTCCTATTGGAACATTTAAAGTCACAGTACCTTTATATTCTATAGGATTATAATAAAGTAATATTTTGATTTCACAGATTGGTCACATATTATTTATTGACCAACACAAGGTTGGATTAGCTTTATTAATATAGAGTTCTTTGATAAATTAAAAGGAGAGAGTCCTTTCTTCATTCTTCTGTTGCGCTGAAAAGAAGCAGGTTAGAAGCAAATGCATGAGACCTTGAGGCCATATCTCATGCAGACTAGTTCTGTGCAGAGGAGAGGGGAAACAGTCATTTCATTCCGTTACAAGGGACATGAGCTGTAATCTGCCAGTACCTTAGAAAATTACATTATGGTTCACGAAATCAAATTTTCTTAAATTCCCTCAGGGATCTGTTCTGGGTCCCCTGCTCTTTTCATTCTATCTGCTCCCACTCGGCATGATCTTCCGCAGGTGCTGTATTGACTTCCGTTTGTATGCTGACAACTGCCAGATTTATCTACCAGTAAAAAAGAGATTGTCTGGCTCGATAAAATCTCTGGTGGAATGCGTTGAATATGTGCGCTCATGGTTGTCGGCCAACTTCTGAAGTTGCAGTTAGAGCAAGACTGAAGTCATTTTTTTTTCACTTAATGGCCATCAGCCATGTAGCATAGACCTCTTATCATTTGCACCATTTGAGCACAAAGGTGTAACAGATATTGGTGTGAGATTGGATTCTGAATTGACTTTTGATGCACAGGTGAACTCTGTAGTGAGATCCTGCTTTTTTCAGCTCCGGCGCCTTGCAAGGATTAAGCCTATGCTATCCAGTAAGAACCTTGAGATTGTAACATTTGCATTTGTGCTTTCCAGACTCGACTACTGCAACTTTCTGTATGTTGGTCTGACCACTTCCACACTGTCAAAGCTGCAAGTGGTTCAGAACGCTGCAGCGAGGTTCATTACCGGAGTGAAAAAATGGGAGAGCATCACTCCAGTATTACATGCACTGTGGTGGCTTGCGGTAAAACATTACATTGAGGTCAAGGTTCTTGTATTTACATTAAAGTCTCTAGCAAGGACTGCGCCACCTTATCTATCATCACTACTGCAGAAACACGCCCCCTCAAGATCACTGCGCTCCGCTGCCAGCAAATGACTGGTTGTTCCAGAAACCAAGCGTAAAAGTCACGGAGATCGAGCTTTTACCACTTTTGCCTCAAAATTGTGGAATGTCCTTCTACTGAAATTAAGACTCACAACTTCACTTCGTGATGAAAATGTCTCTCAAAAATTACAGACCAGCAGATGTGTAGATCGTAAGACGTTCTAAAATCATCATCGTGTGTGTGCGTGCTTTATGGCAGTTCACCAATAACCTGTGCATTAGTTTGTAAGGAAGTAAGTAAAAAGACACTCCTTGCACCTTTCAGCAGAAGTTTACAGCTGTACTTTGTCATAAAGTAGTCCCATGTCTAAAATGGCACCTGTGACTTCTTTGTGTTACTTGTTATTTTCACTTGCAGTTAATATGGTTGTTGAGGTAACCAAGCAGAATTAGGATCACTATTTAGTAATTGTAATGACATTTTCACACTCAAGGCTAGTTGGTATCATTTACTTACATTGTTATATGCTAAGAGGAAAAAAATTGTGCAAGTTTGGTGTTTGAAATGAGTACATTTGCCTCTGGTCATACTTGCACATACATTTAAAATATTTCTGTCTACTTTTTTTATTTTAAGGTTGGCTTCCTGAAGACGCAGCATCGTTATGAAATAGTGTTCACCCTGCCGGAGGTCCCGGGTCTGGAGAAAGACGTGCGTGCAGCTCCAATACCCAGTCCACACCTCCGGCTCAACAGCATCAGGCCGGCTCCGGGGGGTGAGTTCATGACTCATTAAGAGGACCAAAGGCAGTAAAGGAGCATCAAAAATAGGTTTTCAACATGGTCTCCTAACACACACTGGAAAACAAGGCTGCTCAAACATAAGTATACTTGAAAGGCTGCAGCTGAAATGTTTCGTGATATTGACCACAGTTACTGGTATTGCAATGTTTACCAGGCTTCTGTGACAAATGGCTCCTAATAAAAGTTTAAACAGGGTCAGAGGTTTCCACCAGGCCAACCCTGGATCATGTTGCAGTAAAACGGGCGCTGACCCGTATGCTGCAGCTTTATTTAAACACCGGTACATAAACAAGTTAGGACGTGTGTTGATCCAGACATAGCTGCTCGGCTCTTGTTTACCCAGCATGGCTGATAACAATGAAGTTATTAATAAATTCAGATGCACTGTGGTTATAGAACATTCTGAAAATGAGTGTGGGCTGAGTCGGCACGCTCTACTCAAGTGCAGACATGGATTCAAACCAGAAAATTGCATCAACATGACTGCTGACTTTATGTTAATATTGTTTTATTTGATGCACTCCACTTTGAACTGCTCCAATCCAGCGACTGCTGCATTGTAATAACTAGTATTAAAGGTGAATACACCAATATTTGCTCAAGAATAATTTCTGTTTTAAACTCTCAGTGACACACTTTGCAGGGTGGATTTGGCATTTAATTTTTCTTGGCGTCTGGAAAAACATCTTCTTTTTCCCCCTTTATTTGACTCTCTGCCCCCTTTATTTTGGTCCAAGATCATTACTGGGCTGGCCCTATTAAAAACGTTCTACACCCCTGCTTAGTAGACTTAATGAAGTATTTTTAAGCCAGTATAAAAATGACAGAAACACAAATTTACATATTTGGCATTACTGACCAATATTTTTTATTTAATTTATTTGTTAAGAACATCAAGATGCATTACAGTGAACATTATAATAAGCTGGGCGGACACTGTGCGACTTTTTCACTCGTAACACAGCTTCAGCTCAAACTGTACGACTTCAGCGCAGGGTAGATCTCACGAGTCATGTGCTCACTGTACGTCTGGTAGCAACACGTCGGACCTAAAATATGCTAAAAATAGCAGTTTTTACTCAACACGTCAGACTTTTTTGTCTTGTTTTGCCTGTTGTCCTTCGGTAGAGCTGCAGGAGGACACACAGGGATTTATGGGGGTTGGATGAGGAAACGAAATAAAGAAAGTAAATCTGTGTTTTGTGATCAGTTTAATTTGACATAAACACGACAAACACGCTTTCTTGACAATCTTTGTGAGTAAAAAAAACGTGTAGAAATAAAAACGAACAACGTGTGTTATTAGGTAAATAGCGGGTGAGCGGAGTTGATGCAGGATTGCGAATGCGCCGTGAGCGGTTCTGGTACTTTTTGGGTCGCAGCTGCTCGCAGCGCCGCTTCAACAGTGCGATACCCTCATGAGGAACGAGATAAATATCAAACACTCCAGAAGTCCGTGCGAGCTCACGATTGCTGATCGGTAGCTGGTCACGTGGTGTTAATCGCCTCTCGTAACCCCCTGTACACTACACGACGCTCAGCGCTAAACTCGCCCCGATCTTGTGGATTCTCGCACGAGTGGAAAATCAGCTCAAAAAAGTGAAAAAGTCACACAGTGTCCGCCCAGCTTTACTGTCTGTGTGTGTGCGTTGATGCCTGGGCCGAGCTGACGGAGCTCCCGGCTGCAGTTTTGTGTGTAGGGAGGGGCGGGCGCTCTATCTGACTGGCCAATCACAGAGCGTGAAGACAGTCAGTTACCCAATGAGGATTTCATTCAGCACGATTACAGATATTTACGAGTTTTACACTCGTTTCTTGCTCGTATTCGCCAAAAATGCTTTATCCGTACGCTCGTAGCTGTAACCACCCTGCCCAGCCTCCTCCTCCTTGCTACCTGCCGGCTGTGATCACAAGCAACAACACAGTAGTTCCCGCTGCTTTTTCGGGAAACGGCGCAAAAAAAAAAAAAAAACATCAATAAAACTTGGGATGTTGTAGGCGTGGCGGTGGGATTTCAGCCGTGGCGGGCCGCCACGGCTACGCCTATGTAAGGGAAACCCTGCCGCAAACACTTTGGACTTGGTAAAAGTGTGGTGGCTGCCGCTTTCACGCATTCGCATCTCTCCAATCGGACGAAAAAATGCCTCTAAACCAAACCATCAAATTACGCATTTCTAATCACCATATTCCTCCTCCTGTCTGGAGACTTCCACCAGTGCCCTGGGCCGGTCAACCGTCAAGAACAAGACGGACACCGTTTGAACTCCAGACTCAGCGAGCACCTCACCAGAAACTCACAGGTACATGCTACATGTTCGTACTACTTCAGCAGGCAACAATCTCACCTGGGTGGTCCTGTCTCTCCGACGAGCTCTGCGGGGTATCGGTGACCTAAGTGGACATGACGAACAGCTGGATAGAGCTAACGGGGACCGGAGCCGGCGTGTCCACCTGTGTAGAGCCGCGGGCCCCTCCGCCGCCCGAGCCACCGTGGAGCCGACCTGGAGCCGGGGAACCAAGGCGATATACTCCAGAGAAACACTGGATAACCAGAATGTATCGCCAGTGTTGAATAACGCTGGTGACTGGTCACAAACTCACACTCCAAAAAGGAGCAAAGCTAACAAAAACAACAACGCAATTACACCCGGAAGAAAGACGGGTCAAAACAGGAAGTTGACCTCGAATCCGGCTGTTGTAAAAAAACAGAAAGTTTACCATTTTCCAAATGACGAATCACTTGAAAATAATATGGGACTCCAAATTCAAACCCAAAGGCTTGTTCGGAGGACACCTTAACATAAGAAGTCTCATGTCAAAATCTGATCAAATTCAGCATATATTAACGACATCTAATTTAGATTATCTGGGTCTGTGAGAATCATGGCTCCATGCAAATTCACCACAAGCAGCACTTATGGTACCAGGGTATCAAATCTATAGAAGGGACAGAGTAAAATCTAAAGGAGGTGGAGTTATGGTATACATAAAAAGCAGTATTCACACTGAGGAAATAGACCTAGAAAACTGTGATTTAGAATCTATTGGACTTAAAATAACCTTATCATCACAAATGTCTTTTAGTCTCATTGTTATCTCCCGCCCACCTAATTCAAATACTGATTTCTATGAAAAATTTCAAAACACGCTGACAAGGATCAACTTAGACAAAGTGGTAATAATAATGGGAGATTTTAATATTAATTGGGAAGATAAAAAGGCCAGAAAACATTTCAAGCAAATCACAGATCGCTTTGACCTCACACAGATAACAAAAGGCCAAACAAGGATAACACAATCAACAAGAACACAGACTGACCTAGTATTTAACAACAGACAAGAAAGAATCACATAATCTCTTAATATGATCACAGGCCTCTCTGACCACAATTTAGTACTTGTGGCCAGAAAACTATCAACAACGAGATTTTATGTATGTGCCATTAAAGGGCAGGAAACACTAAGAATACCCAATAAAGACCAGGATCGATTTAAAAACACAGTGGACAACTATGACTGGAATTCTCTTACTATCCGGAAAAGATTTAAAAGAAGGGAGCAAGACACTTTCAAATAAACTGCAAAGTATTATTAAAGATTTACTTGTCGGTTTAAACTCAGGAAAAAAAGGAGCAGCCTGCCATGGATTTATTTATTTTATTTATTTATTGAGAACCTCATTAGCTCACACCATAGTGTGGAGCTATTCTTCCTGAGGTCTCTTTCAATTTCATTACAAATATTTTACAAAACACCCCCATCCCCATCCCCCCACACACACACACCCAACAACAACAAACTCCAGGAGCTCATTATAATCATACCACCTCAATTGCTATAATGATATACCAATAAGTTACCACACACTTCAGAGTTCATGAAAAATCTAAATAGGTGAAAACGGAGAGTTTACACAGAGCAATAAATAACTATATTCAAGAATCAAAAATCATATCACATCACATCCATAACAAACAAAAATTATAGAAGCTGTCATATCAGTCACATTTACAATTCACTGTGCAAAATTTACTGTTGTGTAAACAAAAAAAGCTTTAACTTCTTTTGAAAACATCTTCTGTTATTCTCTAATAATATATTAGATATCCTGCAAAAAATGAAAGAGCGTGATTTTACACTAAAAAGGGCTATTAAAACAAAACTATCACATGATAAACGGCACTTTGCCAGGTTAAGGAACACCGTAACAGCAATGCTGAAAAAATCCAGGGCCAACTTTTTCCTTACCATAATTAGTGAGGCTCATGGTGACTCAAGCTAATGTGGGATCAGCTAAAGAAATTAATGGGGCAAGAACATAAACCAAGGAAACCAATTGAACTAACAATAAATGGGAACAGTATAGGGGACCCGTCTGAAATAGCTGAAACTTTTAATCAATACTTTGTTGAATCTGTTACACAATTTGCCCTGAGCTTTTCACCTGTAAATATTGAGTCACATAAGCCTCAGTCAGCAGAACCCAGTCTTGTTTTCAAATATGTCACAGAAACAAACACAGATGAAATAATCATAAAACTCAAGCCATCCAAATCAAAAGATGTGTTTGGAATGGACACAGCAATGTTTAAAAATAACAGCTAATCACTTATTAGTCGCATTGCAAAAATTATCAATCAATCTATAGATCAAGCAGAGTTTCCACCTGCATGGAGATCAGCCATCGTATCGCCAATATTTAAATCAGGAAACCCACAACAAGTTTCAAATTACAGGCCCATTAGCATTCTACAAGTAATGTCTAAAGCTCTTGAAAAGTGGATATGTGAACAAATCAAAGACCACCTGATAAACAGTCCGTTCCAACTTCATCCACTACAATTTGGATTTCAACCTAACCACTCAACCGAGTCTGCCAACTGTTTCTTCAGTGACAAAATCAAATCATTACTTGATAAAAATAACGTAGTTGGGGCAGTCTTTCTTGATCTCAGAAAAGCATTTGATACAG